ATTACAAGAAATCTAATTACATATGCAAAGAAGCAATTTATATAAATATATAATAATAGCAATGTAATCAAATTTTAAAATATCATTCAAAGCTTATTTTTGTAGCAAAAAGTTGACAAAATTCAATTAATTTTTTAAAAATTATTTTTAGTAAACTTAACCTTTAACTTTTACTTGATATGTCAAAATAACTACCTTACAAAAGAAAGTAACATACCCAAGAACTAGTCAGTGAGATCCCTGAGCTTGAAGTTTAACTAAAAGTTAAAAGTTCGATGTGATGTAACTTTTCTAATGTCTCAAACACGTATCAGTTCTGTTTCTTTGCTGTCGTTGTTGGGTGGGTCAAGTTGATTCTGACTCATAGCAACCCCATGTGTCAGAGTAGAACTACCTCATAGGGTTTTCTTGGCTATAGTCTTTATGCCAGCTCTTTCTCCTGCACAGCCAGTGGTGGGGTTCAAACCCCCAGCCTTTCAGTTAGCAGCCAAGCACTTAACCGTTGCTCCACCAGAGCCTGAATAAAACCACTTTCAATCATATAAGATGCTGGAAAACAAAGTATTTCTGCCATTTCAGACTACCTTGTTGGATAAAGAAGTGTAGTTGTTTTTGATCCTACAACTCAGCCATTCCGCCTTTTTTGTTTCACTGTCAGAGCCAAACCATACACAGTCACACCAAGGATCAAACATGAACAACATCCCAAGGCAGCCGGTAGGCTCACACAGGCCTCCTCTTGCCATACAAGCTCAAGATCGAGCACTCATTCAGAAAAGAGTCCTCCCTCCCAGCCATCTACTCACCATGGTTTGTAGCACTGACCTTGCCTACAATCTGTGTTTCCATGAACTCGTTGTCAGTGCTGCTAGTGTGGTAGAAAGAAGACCCAACAAGGGAAATAAAATACTAAGGAATAAAATTTTGTCAAGTACTGTTGGGCTTTGGAAAACTACAAACCTTGTAATATCTAAGATTTTTTTGCCCCCAGAAAACCACTTCTTGCCCGGTTGGGAATGCATGTGCTGAAGGAGCATCAGTTCATGGTAGGATGGGGAATGGTGATGAGTTGCACAGATAATAGTTGTGAGGCTGAGAGTGGCTCCCTGGCCTCTAGACTCCCAGGCTAGTGCTCTCACCATGTTGGAAGTGCACAGATCCTCTGTCCACCCCTCCCAACAATGCTTCTTTGTTCTCACTATGTTTCTTGGAGGGTCTTCTCTTGCTGATTGTGGAGCCCTCCTTGCAAAAGAGTAATCTCACACTCTGAGAACGGAGAACAGGATGGAAAAGACACCTGGGCATTTGGAGCCAGGACGCAACAGGTGATCTTCACTGTCTTGAGGGCTACGGCAGCCTAGAGCTTCCAGCTGGTGAGGCTAGGCCACACTGTTGGCTGATTCTGCTGAGGCCTCAGCACTTCCTTCCAACACAGCCTGTTCCTCCTGCTGCCCAGATCATCTCCTGCTCCCCTTGCTGCCTGCTGGAAACCCCTCTGAGATTCCCCAGTGGGGTTGGCCTTCAAGGCCAGCTCAGCCTGCTCTGCACCCTCCACAGACTGTGAAGGCCTATAAAGGACGTTTCTTCCCCTCAAGTCTGGCCCCTGGGAGTGTTCACTAAACAAATGTTTCTTGAACAAATCTCTCCTTCCACCCTCACTCCGTTAAAACACTTCAATGGCTGCCCATTCGTTCATATTCATTTAACAAGTCTCTCTCTCTCTGTTGATGGCCCCACAGTCCCTCAAGTGTCAACACATATCCATGGGATACTGCTGCATTCCAGGCACTCTTCTGGTAGTCAACATACAGCAGTAAACAAAAAAGATAAAATTCCATGCATACATAGAGCTTGCATTCTAGTGGAGAGAGAGAGAGAATAAACCAAACACACAAGTAAAATGCAGAAGATGTAAGATAGTGATAAGTGCTCTGGAGAAAATACAGACAAGGAGTATGGAGTAAGGGCATTGCAATTTTAAACAGGGTGACCAGGGACAGCCTCTCTGAGACAGTGGCATTTGTGGGTGTGAGGGAGGGAGATGTGGATTTGTAGGGAAGGGCATTCTAGGCAGACCTGGTACAGGGACATGCCAGGTTTGATGGAGAAACAGTGAGGGGGGCCAGTGTGCCAGGAGAAGAGAGGAAGACCCTGAATCAGAGTAAGAGTTGGGCCCTGTAGGACTTTGGCTTTCACTGTGTGAGTGATTGATGGGCAGCCTTTGGAGGATTTTGTGCAGAGGGATAACATAATCTGACTCACATCATGGAAGGATCATTCTTTTAACATGATTGCTTTTAGACTAATAACAAAAGTCCTTCTGTGGGGGCTGACAAGGCCCTGCACGGTCAGGGTTCTTCCCACCTTCACATCCTCCTCTCCCACTTGGCAGACCCTCACCTGCTGCTCTCTAGCCACCCTAGCCTTTCTGTTCCTCAAATGGGTCATGCTTTCTCTAACCACAGGGCATTTGCACATGCTGTTACCCTGCTTGTTTCACTATTCTCCACCTCTCTTTACCCAGAAAACTCCTCTAACACTGCCCATCAAGGCTCCTCATCACTTTCTTAGGGATCCCCTCCCTGACCTCGCTGAGAAAGTCAATTCTTCCTATTGTATATCCTCCCAGCCCAATGTAGCACTTAGTGGAGTTATAATATCTGTGTATTTTCTCCCTAGCCCTCCATTGAATCCCTGGAACCTGGAAGAGCTCTTGGCACATGAAAGGGCCTTAAAAAATATTTGTTGAAATTATATTAAACAGCTCTATCATTGCACTTAAGATGTCAGTTTGTTCATTTGCTCACTAGACATTTTACTGGGCCCATACTGTACACAGAGCTCTGTGCTGGGTGCTGAGAATACAAAGATGACCATCATTCATTCAACTGTCTCCTCTTCCAGACTGAAAGCTCTGTGAGGGCAGGAATCATGTTAGAGGTAAATATCCCACCAGTATCTCAACTCAAATCCTGCCCCTTCTGCGTTCTCTCTCTCTGTTGGTGGCACCACCCTTCTAAAGTGTCCCCACTAAGAACCGGGGGATTGTGCAGGAAGAAGGAAGAGTGTTCCAGGAGAGACTTATTTTCACAAGGACAGAAACAAATTTTTACTTTTCTGCAGCATTTCTTGGCAACCACCTTGTAGCAGGCCCTGTACAAAGCACTTGGACATGTTAGCTCATTTGATCCTCCCAACAATCCCATGAAGTAAATATAATCATCCTCCATTTTACCTTGGATAAAAAGAAGGCCCAAGGTGTCACACTAGGAAGGGACAGAGCTGTCTCAGGCCTCCAAACCCAATGCCCTCTCCCCTGTACCACCCAGAGACAGGAACTCCACTCTGGGCCAACCAGGCTGCTGGTTTTCCCTGAAGGAAGGGGGAGGACACAGCCTACCAGCTTTTAATTCTACAAGCTGGAGAGGCCTCCCTTCTTCCCTCTCTAAGGAGACTGAAGCCTGCCTGAACTGAAGTGACACTTCTGGCTGAGTTTCCTGGATCAGAGCCCACTCCTGGCACATCCCATCAAGGCTCATGGTAGAATGGTGTCCCTTGTACTAATTTTTCTAAGACAGTGATGCCCCCACCCTCTTGGTGCTCTGGGGAGATTTAAGGTAAATTATCCCATGCAGGGCAAAGACAGCCACAGGGAAGAGCCAAGAAGTGAACGCAGACTATGAGAGGGGTGGATTTAAAAAACAACCCAGTGTGCAAGACTGAGACCATCCCTTCTGAAGAAGCAGGGAGCACCTGTCTCAGAAAGGTGGGGAGACTCACCAGGGCTTCTTGGATGGGCTGAAACCAAAAAACAGGGAGGGGTGGTCTTCAGACAGTTTGGACCCCCGCCTCCAGAGGAAAGCCAGGCTCCCTGCATTCAACACTTGGTTTCCATCTTCAGTAGATAGAGCTGTAGAATTCCCCCAAAAGCATGTGACTCAGAGTTCACCTGGACCCACCTCCATCTGCAGAGGCAGACACTGAGTCCAGGATACAGGAGAGACTTGCCCAAGTGCACCTACACTGCAGGGACAGCATCGGTATTAGAACCCTAGTCTCCTGACTTTGTGAGCAGTGTTCTTTCCCTGCTCCTCAGTCCTGCAGTCTCTCTGCCCTGATACCTGATCACCAGGACATGCACGTAATCCCACCATGACCCTTTACTGACCCATCCCCTAGACCAGGCCCTAGGGCACATTCTGGGGAGGGATTTTGCCTCCCTCACCCCACCATACCACTACCCTGATCCCCTGAAGGAGCTGTGAGCAAGGAAAATGAACAAGAAAGGATGGAAGCAAAGAGGATGGTGTTACCCTCAGAGCCTGGTCTTTTGCATGGTATAAACTATATTTCCCTAATGCCTGGGCATTTTTCCAATTACCTAATGCTCCACTTTTACTAGAATTCCTTTTTCATACCCTCATCTCATTCTCCAAAGGGTTTGAAGTGGAAACAATATAAAGCACAGCTATAGTAAATCTTTAAAACAGAAGTTAAAAGACAAGATATGGGTGAAAAGTGGGATAATCATATAAGAAAAAAACAGGATTAATATAAATTAAAGCATAAAATTAGCTCTGAGCTTCCTGGAAGCCAAGGTAAAAAGGGAAATGTGATACACTCCATAGCCTTCAAGAGCTAATAAAAGGTAGTATAGTTTAAAGTTTAGGGTGGTGCAAATATTTAACAAACTAAGCTGCTAACCAAAGGTTGGTGGATGGAATCCACCCAGAGGCACCTCAGAAGAAAGATCTGGAGATTTACTTCCAAAAAATCAGCCATTGAAAACCCCGTTGAGCACAGTTCTACTCTGACACACATGGGGGTCACTATGAGTTGGAATTGACTCAATGGCAACTGTTTTGTTGTTGTTTAATAGTATGGCAGGTAGGAACGTGGGCTCTGGGGTCATAGTGACTGGGCTCAGAGTCTTTGCTCAGTAGCTATCAGTGCAAATTTGCCCTGTTCACACTCTGTGCCCTGCCTCTCTGTGCCCCCAGGCTGCTCCATCACCGAGGCTGTGACAATCCTGGGCAACAAGCTCAGAGATTACCAGGGACAGTTCAACACTAGCCACCTGCTGGCCCTCTGTGACTACTTCCACAACACCTTCATCCACCACTACAAACTCTACCAGTATGTCCTATGCCAGGACCAGGAAGTCAACCTGACCCTAGACCCACTGGAGGTGTGCACACCACCCCAGCCCCTCCCACTGGCCAAGGGCATGGACAGGGACGTCTGGCAGCATGAGCAGCAGGTGGCTGAGCTCACGATAGCCGAGGTGCAAAAGCGTACCAATGTGCTGCTCCTGAAGGAGGCACTGTACCTGGAGCAGGAGCACATGCTGCAGAAGACTTTCCAGGCCGTATCCATGCAGCAGAGACAGATGCTAAAGAGAGAGGTAAGGCTCTGCCACTCGGTGAGGGTCTTGAACCCTGCTAAGTGCGAACATCCATTGCTGACAAGAATTTCTTAACCAAGAGAACTTCCTAGGCTGGAGTTAGACGTACAGACTGGACCTTGTCATCGGCTCATATGGGAGGGGGTGGGAGGTATCTAGCGTCTACCACAGACTGTACATACACTTCATCATGCAACAACTCTGTGACATAAAAGTGTATGTCCCCATTTCAAGGATGAGACAATTAAGGCTCAGAGAATTGAATCAATTCACCCAAGGTCACAAAGCTATCACTTGGTAGAGTTTACATTTGGATTGAGGTCTGGTTGTCCCCAAAGTCTATGTTCTTTCTACTGCATCATCACTGGTGATAGATTCCACCAAGAGGGGAAGCAACAGGAGCAGGAAAAAGGAACCCAGGCTCTGACCCACCAGAGATGATCCCAGTGCCCTTCATCTGCCTGCAGAGCAAGCGTCCAACAGGCCAGGGGAAGATGATGGAGGAAGCAGGGACACAGGGCACGGCTTAGGGGGCTGATGTGGTGACGTGGGCAAAAGGGTGGAGCTGTGGCCCTGGAGGACCTAAAAGAGCCTGATGTGTCGGTCCAGGAAATTGGGCTGACCTTTAGACGGCCAGAGTCTCTAGCTACCAGCTCTTCAATAAATGGTGACTATCCTGATGCCAGAGCAGCCAACTTCTTGAGGGCCTGGAATATTCTAAATTTGTTTTTTAGCTATACATAGGCACTGATATCATCAGTGTTGCATCATCTTTGAGCACAAGGGCATGTATGTGCATGTGTATGTATGTATACGCATATGTGTTATGGGGGATAGGGGATGATGGGAGTGGTGGAGTAGGGAGAGTTGCAGGGGTTGTGTATTTCAAAAGGGTTTTGGTTTCTGAATTGTCAACCTAAGAGTAAATGGCCCTGGGAAATGTTAGATTTTTTTCAACATTGGAAAATCTCTGAAGAGCACAACAGAATGGATGATATTTATTTAAGGTTAAGTCTCCCAAACAAATAGCTCATCAGTCTGCATGTAATCTTAGTGTCTTGAGGCATTCTACAGGGGAGACAGGACTGGCCTATGGGCCCAGAACAATCAGTTAGGAACAAATGGCACACATTAACAGGGTAATTTCCATCCTAGGCCTGAAGAGGGAGGAGGAGGAGGCAATTACGGGAAACTGAAAAGAGAGCTATAACTATAGCCAAGGGCCACTGACAGGAACTGTGGCTTTGGTAGAGGAACCATGGCAAACCCACAGTCTGATACAGCAGAATAAATACCCCAAGCTCTCTCTCCTCCCAACCTCAGGTCTCCTGTCAATAACTCCCATTGGCTGAACACAACCAGAAACTAGAGGTCAAAGTAGCTGTTGATGCAGTCCTTGTAAGTCAGTCTCCCAAGGCACAGAGTAGGGTGGAGAAGGTGGAGAGCAGATATGAAGAAAGAACATGGCTGAGTTGAGAATTGGATCCAGGTTGAAGTACTCTATCTGAGATGACCCCTGTCTTCCCAAAAGCCTGTTCACCAGCAATGTTCCATTTCTTCCAGGAGTTAGAAAACCTCATCAGTGAGGCCATTCATATCCAGATCGAATGCCTGAAGGAGCTGTTGCAGTACGAGATACAGATAACATTTGATATTTTGGACCTAAAACTTCAGAAGAAGACTTTAAACCTCAATGCTCCCATTCCTTTCCCTCCCTTAGTCACTAGCCAGTCAGGCCAGGTTGAATCTGTTAAATCCTGCAAGGCAAGCAAAGAAAAGAAAGTGAAAGCAAAGAAGTAGAAGGCCCCTGTCATCCATTTTTAAAAATGGACTTTGACTGAGGAAGAGTCATCAACAATTGTGAAAGTATTATGTGATGTGCTCAGCATCCAGTACATTAGAGGCCTCTAGGAATTAAAGAAACAAAGCAATACTCATCATCTTGTCTCTATCTCAAAATCATCTTCTGTCACCTGAAAATACAACCCAAATGGATTTTGCCCGAGTGATGGAGGAATGCTTTCCATCTCTGCTAAGTGCAGAGCTTCGTGTTTGGCGGGTGTTCAAAAACCACTTGACCAAGCCTGAGATCCACTGAATAAAGAACCACCACAAGTGGGTTTAAACAGGTAAGAAGGAAAGGTGACATCAGGAAGGACTTCCAGATAACACAGTGATTCTCTTACTAGATGGGTCCTGGGGTTCTGTTTCCTTACTGAAATATTTGGAACAGGATTAACTGCATGAAGCCTGCTGTGCATGGGTGGTCTCCCTGCTAGAGGACACAGAATCTCATGCTCCTTGGAAAACACTTTCTTCTGTGAGAATCTATAAGCACTGTCCTACAGTTGAAAGACCTGGTTTTGGACCCTGGTTCTGTGACTCACCTGCTGTGTGACTTTGCCTGTGTCCCTTCTGTCTCTGGGCCCCAGCTCCATCTTCTGTCAAATGGAGGAGTTGGCTGGATAGTGTCTAAAGCCCTGTCTCACAATCACATCCTAGGAGAGAGATGAGGCAAGATTTACTATTCCCATTTTTCAGAGGAGGGTTTCAAGGTTCAAGGAAGTCGATTACCTGCTCAAAGTCACACAGCCAGGCAGTGAAAGAACTGAGATTAGAATCCAGGCCTCCAGACTCTTATATCTGTGCTCTTTCCTCTGAAGCACTGTGCTTCTTGTGCAAACAGCTACACAAGTCTTGTAGTTGTTGGTTTATCACAACCATATCATTGACAAGTGACTGTGGCCCTAGAGAAATACAGGCAGTATGGATGTTACCACATGTTGCCTCTTCTTATCTAATGTCAGAGGCATATCTAAGGTATGGGAGGTATGGTACATGCCCTGGGCACCACTTCGTTGGGGGCGGCGGGGAGAGGGTGCGACCGAGCAGTTTCTGTTAACCTGGTATAGCCCAACTTCCTTCCTCAAGCATGGTAGATACAGAGGCATAGCCAGGGAGGGCGAGGGGGAAATTGCCCCTGCGCACAAGTCCAAGGGGATGCCAGTCAAGGCACAGAATGACATTCCAAGGCACCACAAATAAGAAAGGTGTCTGACTGAGGCAGCTGAACAAGATAAGGGAAGGCGTTTCTGCTGATGAGCCACGGCTCTCAATGTCTATTCATCTTGAATTTGGGAGGCAGGGGAGTGCAACTTAGAGATTACCCTTGGAGGCTCATTGCCCTCACTATGCCCCTGCTCAGGGACACAATTTCAGTGCCTGCCATAGATGCTATTTTCTGTAAATATGCCTCTGCTTGCTATCTGCTCTGCTACCATGCTCCTTGCTCACGATGAAGGAAGCCACTGTGCAACATTCCCTGTTATCATCTTATCACTCCCATCTCTCCTTTGCTACAGCTGCTTTCTAGGTCTTGCCGTGTAGGCTGTGACTGAGTATATATGTTTCCAGACAAACTCTCCTACATTTGAATGCAAGGCTGGATCTAGGTAGAGAGGGAGCCCTGGAGAGGGTATCACCAGCTCTCTGAAGCCTTCTTAGAAAAGTCTTGGAAGCTCCTAGCTGGGAAGGGAGCCTTACTAGAAACTGTACTCCAGGCTCTTTCTCCCCATCTGAGGCCCAGGTGTGTGAGGGCTGCCATCGTATCCTGTCCAGGTCTGACCAGGATCCCAGCCACCATCAAACACCCACGCAGCCTGTGTAGAAGGTGGTGGATGTGATGATGGTGGTGGTAGGGGTTTGTGCTTGTGATGCGGGTGATGGAGAAGGCAAGTGGGGACTGCTCCTGTCCAGGTCATATGCTGGAGCCCCACCATGCTAGAGCAGGAAGAAAGAGTCAGAGAGCCCAGGCAGCCTAGGAATAACCTGAACCAGGAGAGCTACTACATGGTCCACAAAGCACTGGAAGCAGGGACTGATTACCGAGTAAGTAAGGTAAGTGTGCGCTTAGGGCATCAACAAAACAGGGGCACTGGCTGTCCAAGCAAAGACTCATAGATAACAAGCAGACAGGACACAAGAAAGAGCGAGCACCGCAGTAGAAGGGAACTGGCAGGGCATGAAATGAAGTTGAGACCAACTCTAGTGTGTGAGAATGTGCTGGCTGGAAATAAACTTTAGGCAGGGTAACAAGGGCACCTATACACAAGGTTGTTTAAGCTATGAGGCTCCTACCACTTCAAAACATTTGTTGATATCTGTCTCCTATGGTCCTGTCCTATGTGATTGAAATTTCCTTATCTCAGTGGGTCTCTTGGGAGCATACTATTCTTTCTAAGAAACAAGAGGTGGGGGGTGGGCTGTCAGGTCTACCTCTTGCTACACTCATCGAATATGCAACTGGAACCAACATGAGCAGTTACTGGGCAAGGACAGATTATATTAATTGATAACAGCTCTCCAATCCATTTTGAGAGCACTGTCTTGTACATCCATGTCTGCTGATATAGCACCTCCAGCCAGGAGGATCAGCAATGCTTTTTGCCTTGATACAAACACAAGGGCATGTTCTTGCACATGTCCCGGTAAACAACCAGTTGGAACTCCAGTCCCAGATGATGTGCAAAAGTGAGGGAAATTGAATAAGTTAGCTGTTGAATGAATTCAATCAAGTTACTTTTTAACTATTTAGCATTTATGTGCACAGTTATTTCCTAAGTTTTGTAAACAATAATATTTATAACTTTAACTTTAAAATACATTTGGTACGGCAGGCGGACCCAACATGTCACTATAGACAGAAGTGCCATGCCATCCCTCCACAGCAAAGACCCAAAAAACTAAGTAAAACAGAGACAAATGTCAATCCTGGAACCCTAAGCATCAAATGAAGAGAAAAAGACCTGAATCTGGGATGTGAGATTGCACCAGCCAGATACCAACTAAGAAATGAACTCTAAAGGACTATTCAAAACCAAAAGATTTACAACAGGGAACCAGAGAGGTTAATCTGTAAATGACAACTATGTCAGAACAATAAAAGAGGGAATAAACAGTGTAGGTATAGAATCTTCTAATGGAGAAGAAGGCAAGGCGATATCAAGTAATAATAGACTGCTTCAAACCTAGGAAGATAAGGGTAAATTTCAAGGTAACCACAAAGAAAGTTAACAAACTTACCCATCAAAATAAAGAAGAAAAACATAACGTCTCAGAAAAAACAAAATCTACAGCAACAAAAGAAATGACAAAAAATCCACAAACAAAAGAAATTCAGCACAGGAGAGTAAGAGGAACAAAGAAAACTGCATCGCAAAAAATAAAAATAAAAAGCACTACTACAAAAGGACAGCAATAAACTCACACCGATCAATAATTACACTGAATGTAAATGGCCTCAAGGTACCCATAAAGAGAAGGAGAGTGACAGAATCGATAAAAAAAACAGGGCCCATCAATATGTTGTATACAAGGGACACACCTCAGAAACAAAGATGTAAATTTATTAAAAATCAAAGGATGGAAAAAAATACATAATCAAGCAAACAGCTACCAAAAAACAGCAGGAGTGGCAATACTAATCTCAGTTAAAATAGACTTTAAAACAAAATCTGCCATAAAAGACAAAGAAGGCCACTATGTAATGGTTAAAGGGACAATCCATCCTGAAGACATAATCATAATAAATATATACGCACTCAATGACAGTGCTCCAAAATACATAAACTCTAACAGCACTGAAAAGAGAAACTGACAGTTCCACAATAATAGTAGGAGATTTCAATACACCACTCTCTGTAAAGGGCATCTAGAAAAAAACTCAACAAAGATACACAAGATCTAAAGGCCACAATTAGCCAACTTGACTTCATAGACATATATAGAACACTCCACCCAACAGCTGCAAAGTACACATTCTTTTCCAATGCACATGGAACATTCTCCAGAATAGACCACATCTTAGGCCATAAAGCAATTCTCAACAAAATCCACAACACTGAGATAATATAAAGTATCTTCTCTGACCACAATGTCATCGCAGTAGAAATTAACAACAGGAAGAGAAAGGAAAAAAAATCAATTACATGGAAACTGAATAACACTCTGCTTAAAAACCACTAGGAAATAGAAGAAATCAGAGATGGAATAAAAAAAATTCTTAGAATCAAATAAGAATGAAAACACATCATACCAAAACCTTTGGGACACAGCAAGGGCATTTCCCAGAGGTCAATTTATAGCAATAGATGCACACATCAAAAAAGAAGAAAGGGACAAAATCAAAACACTAGCTACACAATTCGAACAAATAGAAAGAGAACAGCAAAAGAAGCCCACAGCCACCAGAAAAAATAATAAAGATCAGCATAGAAATAAATGAAAATTAGAAAAGAAAAACAATAGAAAGAATCTACAAAATCAAAAGTTGGTTCTTCGAAAAAATCAACTAACCACTAGCCAAATTGACAAAAGAAAAACAGGAAAGGCCACAAATAACACAAATAAGAAATGAAATGGAGGACTTTACAACTGGCCCAGCTGAAAATAAAAAGGATCGTAACAGAGTATTATGAAAGCTATATTCTAACAAATTTGAAAACCTAGAGGAAATGGACAAATTTCTAGAAACACACTACCTACCTGTCTTAGTCATCTAGTGCTGCTATAACAGAAATACCACAAGTGGATGGCTTTAACAAAGACAAGTTTATTCTCTCACAGTCCAGTAGACTACAAATTCAAATTCAGGGCAACAGCTCCAGGGGAACACTTTCTCCATCAGCTCTGGAGGAAGGTCCATGTCATCAATCTTCCCTTGGTCTAGGAGCTTCTTTGCACAGGAACCTCAGGCCAAAGGACACGCCATGCTCCCGGCACTGCTTCCTCGGTGGTATGAG